ATGCTTTATGTCTTTCTCTTGGCTGATTTCCCTGACCAGAACTTCCAATACTGTGTTGAATAGGAGTGGTGAGAGAGGGCATCATTGTCTTGTGCCAGTTTTCAAAAGGAATGTTTCCAGGTTTTGCCCATTCAATATGATACTGGCTGTGGGTTTGTCATATATGGCTATTATTATTTTGAGGTATGTTCCTTCAATGTGTAGTTTATTGAGAGTTTTTAACAAGAAAGGACATTGAATTTTATCAAAGGCCTTTTCTGCATCTATCAAGATAATCATGTGACTTTTGTCTTTAGTTCTGTTTGTATGATTAATTACATTTATTAATTTGCAGATGTTGAACCAACCTTGCAACTTGAATATGGTGGATAAGTTTTTTGATGTGCTGCTGGATTTGACTTAACAGTATTTTCTGAGGATTTTCGCGTCGATGTTCATCAGGAATATTGGTCTACGGTTTTCACTTTTTGTTGTATGTCTCCCAGGTTTTGGTATCAGGATAATGCTGGCCTCATAAAATGAGTTATGAAGGAGTCCCTCTTTTTCATGTTTTTGGAATAGTTTCAGAAGAAGTGGTAACAGCTCCTCTTTGTACCTCTAGTAGAATTTAGCTATAAAGCTGTCTTGTCCTGGGCTTTTTTTGGTTGGTAAGCTATTTATTACTAACTCCATTTCAGAACTCATTATTGGTCTATTCAGTGATTCGACTTCTTTCTGGGTCAGTCTTGGAAGGGTGTATGCATCCAGGAATTTATCCGTTTCTTCTAGATTTTGCAATTCATTTCCATAGAGGTGTTTATAGTATCCTTTGATGGTTGTTTGTATTTCTGTGGGGTCAATGGTGATATCTCCTTTATCATTTCTGATTGTGTCTATTTGATTCTTCTCTCTTTTCTTCTTTATTAGTCTAGTTATCAGTCTATTTATTAATTTCAAAAAAACAGCTTGTGGGTTTATTGATTTTTTAAAGAGTTTTTCATGTCTCTATCTCCTTCAGTACCATTCTGATGTTATTTCTCGTCTTCTGCTAGCTTTGGGATTCATTTGCTCTTGATTCTCTAGTTCTTTTAGTTTTAGAGAGTCAATTTTAGCTTTTTAATGTGGGCATTTAGTTCTACAAATTTCCCTCCTAACACTGCTTTAGCTGCATTTCAGAGATTCTGGTAGATTGACTCTTTGTTCCCTAGTTTTAAAGAACTTCTTGATTTCTGCCTTAGTTTCATTATTTACCCAGGAGTCATTGAGAAGCAGTTCGTTGAATTTTCACGTAGTTGTGTGGTTTGGGGTGAGTTTTTTAACCTTTAGTTCTAATTTGATTATACCATTGTCTTGAGAGTTTGTTATAATTTCGGTTTTCATATGCTGAGGAGTGTATTGCTTCCAATTATCTGATCAATTTTAGATTAAGTGCCACGTAGTGCTGAGAAGAATGTATATTCTGTTGTTTTGGGTTGGAGAATTCTGTAGATATCTATCAGTCCACTTGATCCACAGCTGAGTTCAGGGCCTAAATATCTTTGTTAATGTTCTGTCTTGATGATCTTATATTGCAAATGAGGTCTCCCACTATTACTGTGTGGGAGTCTAAGTCTCTCATAGATCTCTTAAGAACTTGGTTTATGAATCTGAGTTCTCCTGTACTGGGTTTTTATGTTTAGAACAGTTAGCTCTTCTTGCTGAATTGAACCCTTTACCATTATGTAACACCCTCGTTTTTTTTTTGTTGTTGTTGTTGTTGTTGTTTTCTTTTTTGGTTTAAAGTCTGTTTTGTCAGAAACTAGGATTACAGCCCCGGTTTTTTCTGTTTTCCATTTGCTTGGTAAATTTTCCTCCATACCTTTATTTTGAGCCTGTGTGTGTCCTTACACACAAGATGGGTCTCTTGAATACAGCACACCAATGGATCTTGACTCTGTATCCTGCCATTCTGTGTCTTTTATTAGGGCATTTAGTCCATTTATATTTAAGGTTAATATTGTTATGTATGAATTTGATCCTGTCATCATGATGCTAGCTGGCTATTTTGCAGACAGGTTTATGTAGTTGCTTCATAATGTCATTGGCCTGTGAACTTCAGAGTGTTTTTGTAGTGGCTAGTAACAGTTTTTCCTTTCCACATTTAGTATTTCCTTCAGGAGCTCTGGTAAGGCAGGCCTGGTGGTGAAGAATTCCCTCAGCATTTGCTTGACTGTAAAGGATTTTATTTCTCCTTCACATATAAAACTTAATTTAGCCAAATATGAAATTCTGGGTTGGAAACTCTTATTTCAGAATGTTGAATATTGGCCCCCAATCTCTTCTAGATTGTAGGGTTTCTGCTGAGAGGCCCACTGTTTGTCTGATGGGCTTCCCTTTGTAGGTGACCTGGCCTTTCTCTTTGACAGCGCTTAACATGTTTTTCTTTCATTTTGACCTTGGATAATCTGATGATTAAGTGTTGTTGGGTTGACTTCATGGAGTATCTTACTGAAGTTCTCCAGATTTCCTGAATTTGAATGTCAGTCTGTCTTGTTAGGTTGGGGAAGTTCTCCTGGATGATATCCTGCAGTATATTTCCCAACTTGGTTCCATTCTCCCCATCTCTTTCAGGTATTCCAGTCAGTCATAGGTTTAGTCTTTTTAAATAACCCCACATTTTTCAGAGGTTTTGTTCATTCCTTTCCATTTTTTTTTTCTCTATCATGTTTGCCTGTCTTATTTCAGCAAGATATTCTTCACGTCAGATTCCTTCCTGTGCTTGGTTTATTGGGCTACTGACACTTGTGATTGCACCATGAAGTTCTCATGTTGTGTTTTTCAGCTCCATCAGGTCATTTATGTTTCTCTTTAAACTTGTATTCTGGTTAGCAGCTTCTGTAATGTTTTATCATTGTTCTTAGCTTTTTTGCATTGGGTTAGAACATGCTCCTTTAGCTCAGTGAAGTTCATTATTGCCTACCTGCTGAAGCCTACTTCTGTCAATTCATCCATCTCAGCTTCAGCCCAGTTCTGTACCCTTACTGAGGAGGTGCTGCAATCATTTGGAGGAGAAGAAACACTCTGGCTTTTTGAGTTTTCAGCATTTTTCCATTGATTCTTTCTTATCGTTGTGGGCTTATCTTCCTTTGATCTTTGGGGCTGCTAACCTTTGGATGGGGTTTTTTGTGGAGTCTTTTTTATTGATGTTGGTGGTGGTGGTGTTTGCTTTTTTCTTAACATCAGGACCCTCTTCTGTAGGGCTGCTGCAGTTTTCTGGGGTTCCACACAATTTTTGCCTAGGTTCTTCCCCAACCCTCTATCACAAGTGGAGGCTGCAAAACAGCAAAGATGGCAGCCTGCTCCTTCCTCTAGGAGCTCTGTCCCAGAGGGGCACCGACCTGATGCCAGCCGGAATACTCCTATATGAGGTGTCTGGTGACCCTTGTTGGGAGGTCTTACCCAGACAGGAGGAACAAGATCAGGGACCTGCTTAAAGAAACAGTCTAGCTGCCCCTTGATAGAACAGGTGTGCTGAAATGGGATGAATCCCCCTTGCCCAGACTGTCCAGGCTCTCCAAAGCCAGCTGCCAGGAAAGACTAAATAGGATATACTACAGAGACTGCAGCTGCCCCTCCCCACAAGGGGCTCTGTCCCAGGAAGACCAGAGTTCTGTCCATAAATCCTTGGCTGGAGTTTCTGAAATTCCCATGGGGAGGCCCTGCCCAGTGATAAGGGATGGATCAGGGTCCCACTAAAAGAAGCAGTCTGGCCACAATCTGCCACGCCCACTGTGCAGCACTGTGGGGAATTCCTCCCTGTACAAAACACTCAGTTTCTTTGGTACTAGTAGAAGAAAACAGCCAACTGGAGCTGCAGAGATGGCACCTACCCCTTCCCCCATAAATTCAGTCATATTAGGTAGTCTCCAGCCTGCTGCTGCTGGCCAGCAGGGATTCCAAGCCAGTGGGTCTTAGTGAGGTTCCACAGGAGTGAGGCTCACTGAATAATGCTGCTTGGCTCCCTGGCTTCAGCCCCATTCCTACAGGAAGGGACAATCTGCCTCATCAGAATTCCCAGGGCTGGGGTATGCAAAACAACTCCTGTGTCCGAGTGCCTTCCCAGGTGGCTGCATGCCTTAGTGGCTGCCAATCTAAGTGGCCTCTGAGAGCCTGCACAGCTCTGTGCTCGGGATCTGAGACCCTGGTGGTATGGGCTCAAGAGGGAAACTCCTGATCCACGAGTTGCAAGGATCTGTGGGAAAAGCGTAGTTTCCTGGTCAGGGCAACACACACTCATTCATTGCCTCCTTTGGCTGGGGGAGGGAGCTCTTCCTGCCCTATGCCACTGCCAGGTGGGCCATCATCACCCCCCTGCTTTCCCTCACTTTCTGTAGGTTGCACCAACCACCCAGTCAGTCCCAGTGAGAGAACCTGGATACCTTATTTGAATGTGAATTCACTTGCCATTTTCATTCTTCTCAGTGAGAACCACAGAACACAGCTGCTTCTAATCAGCCATCTTCGGCTAGTGTTCTAAGAATGCCTTGTTATTAGAACACATTCAATGAACCACATAGGGGTAAAGAGGCATCATGTCCAAACTGTACTCTTAAATGATTTAATAAAAATAATAATATCAATATATGGGGAGAAAAAATGATACAACAAATGTGATAAAATGTTAACACCTGCAGGATCTGAGTAAAGGTTAGAATTATTATTCTTTTTTTTTTCCTTTTTTTTCTTTCATACCAGTGATCTCTGTACTTTGGGAAGAATTATTATTATTATTGTAAGTTTTTATTTAAGTCTGAAACTATTTTAACATATTAAATTATTTTTTTAAAAGAAACATCTAACTGCAAACAATGAATGAATTAGATGTAATATGGTCATATGGTTAAATCTGGAAAATATAACAGTAAGCAAAAACCCAAGAAACATATATACCAGATAATATTAAATGTTAAAATCATTTTAAAAAATTATTATTCATATATATTTATTAATATGTAATGAAGGTTTAATATATATTGTGGCAAAAGGAGAGGAATAAAGACAGGAGAATTGTGCAAACATTGTAATAACACATTTCTTTTAAAATAAAGCTAATTCCAACGTGATGAAATTTTAACATGTGTTTTATCTGTGTGATGGTTACATAGGGATATACTATTATTTTCATACTATCTATGTGTTTGATACATGTTATAATTAAAAGATTTTAAGAAAAAAGATGTTAATGGCTCAAAGGATCTAAAACCCCCAAAACTTCCCAGTGTACCTACTGCCACAAACCAAATGGTTTTTGAAGGTGCTTAAGTCTAAGCCCAAAGATGGAGTCATATGCCAACAAATAACTATAGAATATTGGGAATAAAGGTCAAGATCAATACTGAGAATGCCTCTTCTTTACCCAAGATGTCTCCTTAAGCCTTTCCTTAAACCTATGCTTACTTTTAGAATTTTCCTAACTAGAATTAGTTCTTCTATATCTCATTGAAGTATAAAAATACCATTGGTTCAAAGTACTATGATTTCTGTCTTATAATTGAGTAAAACCAGACATACCATCTATATTCATTGTCTATATTCATGGATAACACATACATTTCAATTGTCTGAATGAAATCTTGACAACTCTGGTCAGGCTTGAAATTTAAACTCTAGATGAGATGAATTAGCTATATTATAATTGATATTTCAGTCAGAGAAAAGCACCTTATCATTTTTTTAAAATAATCATTTCTGGAATAAATGATGTTTACATTCTCAGATTCCAATTCTTTTAAAAAAATGTTCTTTTTTCTTTTCAAATTCAGAAAAAGAATTTCTATGTATTACTTACGATTATACATTGTGGCAGAGACTCCTAGCAATTTACACCCATTTCTTCTTCTTCTGAGATACATAGACTATATTTTCCAGCCTCCTTGGCAGTTAAGTATGGCCATGTGACTGGCTATAACTCCAAGCCTGGCCTACAAAAACTTCCAACACATAATTCCCCATCCTCTACTACCAGCTGGATAGGGATGACAACAAATCCCTAGAGGATGACAGAAACACAAATGGAATAATCCTGTGTCCCTGAATCCCTACATGAAGGAAAGTCACTTAACAAGAAATGTCACATGAATGAGGAAAAAGAATTCTACTGTATTAAGCCACTAAAATTGGGGAGCCTATTTGTTACCACAGTTCATGTTACATTAACTAAAACATGTAATCACTTTCTTTTAGAGAAATAAGCCAGAAAAAAAAAGAAACCCACATATAAATCATAAACAATTTTCCAATTGTCAATATGAAATGCATTATACTTACAAATTGAGGTTTGTAATATGCTGGACCAAGTGTATTGTCACTAGCAGGTGGAAGACGTTTTATAATACTGCCATCATCATTAAGATGATAACCATATGACTTTCCATAAGAAGGAATTGAAGGAACATCAACATTTCTGGTAAGTGCAGGTGTGCTTGAAATTTTCTACAAGGAAACATTTTATATTATTTATTTAAAGTTAAGAGGAAGGTGAATGAAGAACCAAATATTAAACTTTACTAAAAGGCAACTATTAAATATTGATTTAATGAGTTTCATAATATAAAACAAAAATGTTTGTTTTGTTACTATTTTTTGAGATAGGGTCTCACTCTGTCACCCAGGTTGGAGTACAGTGGTACAATCTCCGCTCACTGCAACCTCTGTCTCCAGGGTTCAAGCGATTCTGCCCCCGAACTCAGCCTCTCAAGTAGCTGGGACTACAAGGCATTTGCCACTATGCCTGACTAATTTTTGTATTTTTAGTAGAGATAGGGTTTCACCATGTTGGCCAGGCTGGTCTCGAACTGTTGGTCTCAAATGATCTGCCAGCCTCAGCCTCCCAAAGTGCTGGGATTATAGACATGAGCCACTGTGCCCAGCCAAAAATGTTTGTTTTGTAAAAGTAATTTAAAGAAGTCAATTCAAGTCTGTCTTGCTTTATCCTATAAACCAAGAGAATACACTACTATTAAATTAAGAATAGAATAGAATAGATAACTATTAAAGTCATCAAAAGAAGCAAGGATTCTCTCTCGTTTGGATCAGTTATTTATCTTGCTTAGGAAAGCCATCATTACTGATTCTAAAAACAGGCAATCCTATTCACATCAACAATCATGCTATTATACTATCTGCTGTGCAAAAACAAACTTTATATTTTTCAGTAACACTTTCTGGCTTCATTTCTTCCCAGTTCCTGACTTTTGTTTCCATGTTTCCTGAGTCTTGTATAAATATCCTAAGTATGCAAGCTATACAGCAGGAAAGTGTCTATGATATAATGCTAAATGGAAATAGCAAAATATAAAAGTGAATTATGAATATAGCAAAGTTATGTGAAATTATAAATAAATGTATAAAGTCACCTACATATATAATTTAATGCCAAAAAAAGCTATGTAAAAATTCACCAACATGGTGAAACCCCATCTCTAAATTAATGTTAGAATCAGAAGTTTTAGGGTGATTATCCTTTTATCAAAATTTGCTTTAATGTAAAATATTTTAAAACTTCAATAAAAACAGGAAGGTGTAACATATATTACAAATATTAATATAAAATATATCAAATAAAAGTATTGGCATTTAAAGGATTTAGTTATTAGGCAACTGAAATTACTAAGAATATAATGACTCCTATAGTTTCTGTATGAATAAATTAATGCTATAGTTCCATGTTCACATGCCCATATACAATTTTGTTAGAAACATACTATTACTGGCAGAATTTTCCTTTTTTTTTTTCTTTTTTGAGACAGAGTTTTTGCTCTTGTTGCCCAGGCTGGAGTGCAGTGGTATGATCTCGGCTCACTGAAACCTCTGCCTCAGAGGTTCAGGCAATTCTCCTAGCTCAGTCTCTTGAGTAGCTGTGATTATAGGCACACAACACCACACCTGGCTAATTTTTTTTGTATTTTTTGTAGCGATGGGGTTTCACCATGTTGGCCAAGCTGGTCTCAAACTCCTGACCTCAGGTGATCCCTGAGGCCTCCCAAAGTGCTGAGATTACAGGCATGAGCCACTGTGCCTGGCCATTTTTCTTTTTTATTACAATTTTTTGGGGTGCAGGAGGCAGAGTCTCACTGTGTTCCCCACGCTGGAGTACAGTAGCATGATCTTGGCTCACTGCAACCTCTGCCTCCCGTGTTCATGTGATTCTCATGCCCCAGCCTCCCAAGTAGCTGGGATTACAGGTGTATGCCACCCAGCCTGGCTAATCTTTGTATTTTTTTAAGTAGGGACAGGGTTTCGTCATGTTGGCCAGGTTGGTCTCAAACTCCTGGCCTCAAGTGATCTGCCTGCCCCAGCCTCCCAAAGTGCTGAAATTAGAGGTGTAAGCCACCACACCCAGCCAGAATTTTATTTTTTATCAATTAAAGACAATCATTAAGTAGTTTCAGTAATACCTATGAGATTAATTACCAAATTAAGAAATCATTTAATGGCTTTCCCTCCTTTCAGTACATTCAAAAATATTTGTGTGATGTTAAGACTTTCCAAAATATAACCCCTACCTCCATTCTCTACTATAACTCTCCCTTAGCTTCTGTACTCCAAACATTCCAAAGAACTTTGTTCTTTCCTGGAATATAGCACGCTACCAAACACTTCAGTGTCTTTATTCATGTGGTTTTTACCGCACATGAATAAAGTGGGGAAAAAATATTTTTCCTATTCTTTTTAACTACTTGACGAATCCTTCTTCAAGATCACGTTCAATTTGTTTCCCCTATTCCCTCCAAAGACTCTCTACCTTGAGCTACTAGTAACACTGGATTATAGCTCTAAGATAGCATTTCATTAATAGTATTGCACCAAATTTCATTCATTATTTCCCCATTAAAATTATAAATCTCAGGAAGCAAAAATTTTCTCTATGTATTACCAACATCTAGCATTATGTATGGCCACACAGTCACCTCAAAGTAAATGAGCATTTGCTTTGTCCCCACACACAAAATATCTGATATTTAAATATGCTTACAAAGTTTAACCTCATTGTCATTGCACTGATATTATTCAGCTAAGTACTTGGCCTTAAAATATGTCCTCCTAAACAAAAAACTATTAAAATGTAATAGCTACATGAAGAAGTTATGGCAAGAGAAGGGAACCACTCTAAATAGTGACTAAATCTGCTTGATCATATTATTTATTTCAAAGAGGTAGCCTTTGATGTAAAAATTATTAATTATCTATCACCCAATACCTTTCCAAACATGCCACATAATAATCTTCTGTACAAATTCTTCACTCCAGTTAAAATAACCTTCTTACTACCTTCCATGAAAATCTCACTTCTGCCAGACGCAGTGGCTCACACCTGTAATCCCAGAGCTTTGGGAGGTTGAGGCAGGCAGATCACCTGAGTTCAGGCATTTGAGAACAGCCTGGCCAACATGGTGAAACCCCGTCTCTACCAAAACCACAAAAATTAGCTAGGCATGGTGGCAGACACCTGTAATCCCAGCTACTTGGGAGGCTCACACAGGAGAATCACTTAAACCCAGGAGGCAGAGGTTGCAGTGAGCTGAGATCGTGCAATTGCATTCCAGCCTAGGGGATAAGAGTGAGACTTCATCT